ACTAACATTTTAACTACAGAGAGGGGTGTGCAATACCTATCCAACACACTGAGATTTGCACAAATATAACTTATAATGAGTGCTAACTTTCCACTCCTAGCTCACTGGAAATATTCGGTTAGGCCTTGTTCATAATTATTCATACGAAATATATGAGATGTTACGAAGCTGTGGTTCAGAGTCCTCTGGTCGACTTTCAACCATAACCCAGGTTATTACTATTTACTTAAATACTTACTATTCTCCGTTTTTTTATTGGGTCGAATTGTTCGACCTCTATTGGCATATGCTCTCCTATGCGGATGCCTTGTTATCGCCTGAATGGTAATTATGGTAAATTACCTGGTTGTGGCTAGCAAAAGGATGCAGCATGCGCGTTTCGTCCTACTTGGGACTCGTTAGCTGGGTGTACCTGCACCCCAAAGAGTGGTGGTGTTCCCACTGAGACTCGAACGTCGTACCCATCACTTCAAACGCCAAGGCGTTATTCACTACGCCACAGAGGAACGATAACCATTTTTTGTACAACGAGTATTATTTATTGCTATTTGTTGATATGCTTGCAACTGTCCGTTGTTTTCCAATTAAACAACCTACCATAACCCAGGTTGATCGAAAATCTGAATAGTTAGGAAATCCGAACCTGTGGATTATTAGCTACCAGCCCACCACCCTATCATTCGATTAACAAGACCTAATTGATCAGTAAATCTCCATTTCAATTCGGTCAGTAAATGTTTTACGTATCCATCATATAAATGAGTGACTGATGAGCGGTCAAACAGTATGAAATAGCCTTGACTGACAAATCGATATATTTCACTGTGGTTTAAAGAAAATCTCAGTTACTTAAGAAGGTGACTGAACTTAGTGCAAACCACATTGCCTGTTGGCTTCATTCGTCACTCCGTAAACTCATATTTGCAGTTTGCAATAATAGAGGGTAAAATCTTCCAAAATCTTCAGCAAAGTAATAACATCATGAATATCTCATCTCCACTCATTGTGAATACTCACGCTTGATAAAGTATCTTGAAATTTTATTTCATGTCATAAAGACAGGTTTAGCTGAAGAGCTAGAAATTCATTATAGTTCTGTTTCTACTAGTGAAAACGTCAAAGTTTCTGATATTACACCTTTACTTCAAAAGCGTAAGCTCTATTATAATTACTCAGAATTGTTCGATAAAGCCATTAAACACCGGTGTACAGATTGTTAGCCATTTTTACAAACTAGAGATTCATTCATCAATTCGTAAAACGAATAGCGTTGTCCATTTATAAGTGTATTTGCCCCAGTGTAGTTCAGTACATGGGTAGATGGTCTGAATATGATTTTGAAATTCTGAGATATTCAAGAGTAAGGTGAAAAAGTTAATCAATACCAACTTAGTATCGATAGTTTATTAACTGCTGGAATTCCCATTGACAGGAATCAGCCCTAGTTTTTATTTTTTAACACTCTAACTCTATATTACATTAAAATCTCCATTTGTTTAAATGAAATATAACTAAAAGACGGTATATATTCTTAGGTTAACTTGAAACTATTTAATTTGTTATATTGATTCACTGAAACATTCAAGTAAAAAGCGAACATTTTAAATTGTGAATTACTTTCCTACTACATTAAACTTTCTGATTACTTGACGAATGTCTCTCCTTTAAGAACAAAAAAAATTATTAGTGATGATGAGAAAGTTGTTAAGATGTGAGAACAGAATTTGTTAGCATCACTTTTCTCTCTCCTTAAAAAAGAAGAAAGGAAATGAAATATATTCAGCGCGATTTTCAATCAAATTACCCATCCTATCATCATACATCTTACTCAATAAAAGTTATAATCATCTTATCTGAGAATAAGATCATTTTTTAAAATTAACTTTTGCGAACAAAGGAAGGACTACTGTCACATTTGTTTAAAAAAACTACATCTAATAAATTTGACAGTTGAAAAATGAGAACCGATTTTAAGCATTAAAAAAATGCACCTTTTAAGATACTCATCAATTCATCTGATGCAACCATCTCTTTGTCACAACAAAATTTCTGAATGCCTAGATCAAGTTTGATCGAATTTATTGCGACAACCCCATCTGTGTTGAGCAGGTGTTGGAGAACTAAACGTGGAATACGATGAATGACATTGAGACGTTTATCAGCATCTATGTGATTCCCTATGTCTACCAGATACGATAGGACAGAATTTTTCACCAATTTCACTTCGTCCTTTCTCAACCAAGCTGATAAATGCTGTTGTATTCGGAGACGTACCTACCCAATAGTCAGTCTTATGTAACTAGTTCCACAGGGACAGTTAAACTGATAGATGCAGGATGAACAGCTAAGATTAGGTAGGCTATCCTTATAGTCTCGGATTGGCCATTGGTCAATTACTGAATGATATACAAAGCCGACCCGCATAAAACGTCTTACTGACTAGTCTAGCTAGGCGTTGTGATACTATGTCACTTACAGTGCCTGCCATGAATTATAGTCACAAAGACTAAGGCTTCTTCTCCGGTGTCATCACCTCTCGTTTAGGACCAATGTAGCCGATGAACTTATCGGGATATCTGTTTTCACTTAGATTATCAAGGATACATAGATATGTTTCAAAACGCTTGGAAGTTTCTTCGAAGTTAAAGCATAGGTAATAGGTTTTAATGAGCCTCGATATGTAGGGGAAGTAGACTCGAATACAGAAAACTTATTACATATCCATACCCAAGTCCTTGCACTTACACAGAACAAACATACATTTTAACTAATGTCACTGACAATATAACTGATTTAGACAGGATATCCCCAACCAATCGACATCCAGTTGACTCTAGGTTGATTTGTCCTGGGCACTACAAAAAAGACGTCAGACGTCACAAGTAACTAGTAATTTACTCTAACAATGACTAGATGATCGATAAACAATCTTACTTCATTCCTAACTTCCAGTGAAGTGAAAACTCATTAGATACAAATCATATTTTCGTCCGAAGTTTGAACACTAAGAAACGTTTTGATTTTGGACACATATTTAACATTAAACGCTTCATATACCCCCTACCTATTTTGCACTTCCACAATCCTGTCTAAACCGAGAGGTTCAAGTGTCGACCAAAGTTACAGAATCAACGTTAGTCTCCATAAATCAAAGAAAAACTGCAGTCATTATGTGGAAATTCAGTAGAACTTTATCTGTGTCAAATTTTTCAGAATTTAAGCAGTAATGGTAAATCTTGTGCAAAATCGGAAGGTTACCATTTTAACGAAACCACGTGTTACCCAACTTTAGTTCATAGTATAGTCCCATTAGAAACGAAAGACTAAAGTTGATAAACCTATCTTCCTAAAGCTAACATCAAAATGACTATTACAGCACTAATTTATTGTATATTCAGCACTTGATGACTACGCAGATGAACAATTCATCGCTTCCACAAGCACGTTTTATTGAAAAATATCAAGCAAAGTCCCTAAACCAGGAACAAGAGGTTTTGTGACATAAACCGTATCTAAATTATCTGAGATTTCGATTCAGCCTGTTCAAAAGCATGTACATCTTGGAATTTATTAATCCTTGTCATTTCCTATTGATAATTATGCTGAAGCGAACTGATTGGTCTCACCTGGTATGTGGGCTCCTCCAATGGACACCTCGATATTGTCACAAGTTTTATTTTGGTGTTATTTACTCGGTGATGGCTGGCAGTAAGATCTTTCATTCACGTTTCATCTTATTTGGGACTCGTCAGCATCCCAATGAGTGGTGGCGTTCGGTTTGACATCCGAACATAATACTCATCGCGGCGTCCGCTTAAGCAGCTTATATACCAACTCAGACCCATCAGTTCGGTCCAGTGAAGTAATCAAGAGAAAATAAAAGACAACAGTAGATAGAAAAATAATACTCATTGCACATCAGAGGGCTTTTGTGGCTCAGTAGCCTAGTGGATGACGCTCAAAGATTTGAAGAGCTGGGTGATGTGTTCAAGTCTCGTTGGAAACACTAGCATCCACTAGCATGCAAATAAATTCAGTTGATGCGTGTCAAATAGGATGAAAAGTGCATTTTGGGTTTCACTGGCTGTCACCATTAGCCATGTGACGTCTGTGTGTACTCCTTCATCTAACAGACCTATATCATCAATCACCACAGAAAGATTGGGGAAACTCTGAGTTAAAAACTTTTGCCTCAACTTTTGAAGAATGAAAGTACGCATGCAAGGTGATATCCACGTAAAAGGTGAATAAACATTGTAAGGTTCAGCTGTCTGAAGAACGGTATTTTCACAGTAGATCCAGCTTCCACATGAGCTGCTACAGTTCCTAACAAGGTTCAACATTTCTCGTGAACTAAGATCAGTAAAAACGACTAATTCTCTGTAAGCATTATTTTTATCGACAATCCGACAAAGATTTCCTCCGTGGGTCTCTTACATACCACGGGGTCTAATAATTGTCTATTTCTGTAAGATTTTCATTCTTTCCAAAGTAACTTGACACCTGATGATTAAAAAAGTCTTAAAAAAATATCTTGGTAGGTCACTTTATGGTAACTGGTTAAATAACTGATCGTTAGTGAATACAAGTTTCTTGACAAATTATGGATTTCAGAGATATGCTTTTACTGAATATTTTAAAGGCTGAAAAGACCGTCTTCACATTTAGACTATATATTTTACTGGGAATATCACTGATTAAATAAGACATGGCTTCTGTGTACTTTATATTCTTGAATGGTAAGATTTGATAGGTTTTTTAAGGCTGTTTGTTTCCACCTGTGTGTATTAACCTCCTGAGTTACTAGTATCTGATCAGATGTATAAGTTACACCATGATGCCAGACACTAGTAAGGAACACTTAACGGAATGATCATAAATAAATAAAGGTTACACTAACTTAAATTACATCAATACTTGACTAGTAAATTTTGTTTTGTTTTCATTAATAAAAAGTGAATAAACATAATTATTTTGTTGTGTCTGTTTGTTTACACTAGGCTGACATATCGAAACTGTTACAAAGGCTTTCTGAAGAAGCTAAACGTGGCGCTGAACTTGTACAGTCTTTGAAACATACAGAAAATCAGCTTAAAGTAAGTTGTTCTATGCATCCGTTCACACTAGTAGTTGTCTCACGTTCCAAGTATCAGACTAAATGAAATTAGATCGTCATCTGCTGTTTTCTTTCTGTTTTAGGAAAATCCTTCATACAAACACACAATCCATTCATAGCCCATGTCCTATTCATTTGTTTCTTTTATATTTAACAACTGATATGTTCAGTTGCTTAGATATACGTTCAAAGTCAGACACACACACAAATCTGCATATTAGAAAGAAGATGTAAACACCCTAGAATTTTGTCGATTAAGAAGTGGTAGTCAGTCTGTCAACGAACACCTCAATAATGATTATTCATGTCAATATGTTGCAGGTGACATATGGACAGCTGTTTATTGGATAGACAAGAGGAACAATTTCATACAACTTTCTATTCAATTCCATGCGAAAGCTTTATTGAAAATAAACCTGCAAATGAGATGAGAGATAGAGAGAGTGCAGTTCATTGAACAATTGTTCCATTTACATCGAAGCTGTCAAGTTGTAGAATGAAGAGAACATTCAACTATAGCTTTGAACGTCTCCTGACTAACTATAGCTTTTGATAACTAGATTTAACGTGAATCTATTGATTGTCCAGTCATGAGATTACACTTTTCGTGTTGCATATAAATTTGTTAGTCTTTTTAATCGTCTAATTTACTCCAACTCTTAAAAACTGGATAACATTAGAAATTTGTAAGTGTGCAGAAAAATCCAAAAGGAATTTCACATGGCCGTTTTACGTTGATACTGTGTGATAACTGAAGGCAAAATGAAAATTTGGACTGCAGTTGATTTTGAACCGGCTACCACCGATACTCTGCAAACTGACCTACTAGGTCCGACTGCTGACCATTTTTTTTATATCATTTCAATCACCATGGTTTTTGCCTGATTACCATGTGAATTCGTGATGTGTTACTACTGCTTGGTCGTACGCACACTGGTTACCCAGTCAGGTTGTCGCTGGTTCGAATCCGTCCATGATCTAAATTTCCATTCCAGCTTCAATCATTACACAGCATAAATACTAGTCTGTCAAACCGCGCCTCAGGTAGTCAAAATGATAATAGTTTAATATGTTTGTAAACCAGTAGTGAATAAAGCTTAGCAGTTTATTCATACTCCCAAAGTACACAATACCTTATATCATAGTAACTTACATCAGTGTTTAATTCAGGAGTAAGAAAGTAAAGCGACTCCGGAAATCCTAAGGAAGCTAAGTTTACCAACCCACAGCATATGTGATATCAGTAGTATTTACTATTACTAATAGGTGTAGTCATCTTAACACGTTTACAGGATCTAATCGAAAGAGTAGACTTTAGAGTAAGCTTTTCAACATCTACATGATATCTACCTTCTCATCCATAACTAATTTTACTGCGATCGTCTAATGATAAATGTTGGAACCAGCTTTATGGTTTTTAAAAGTATGTGAAATACTGAATAATAAATAATAATTTCGCTGAATCAGACATATCGAAAATTTAACCGAGATTGGAATTCATCACAGAATCGTTGGAAGCCCGGGAACATTGGACAGCTGTTTCATCCGACTAGTACGGGACTCCTCAGCAGTGACCAACCATGAGCCTACCCATCAGGGCTTGAACCCAGGACCTTCGGGTCCCACAGCCACCACGTTACCACTGAACCACTGAGTTGAAGTCCAGTGGTTTGTATCTCCAGCTTCTGTCAGTTCATGAAATACCGCGACCTACATCCGATGTCGTCGCTGAGTAACTAACTGTCCTCATATTTGACTTGGTTGGCTCCACTGGTCCATTGATCCAATGGAACTTCAGGAATCACCTATTGAAGCTAGTCACCAATGAGCGCTAGATTAAGTCAGTCTGGAGGTTCGTAGAGGTCTATTGATCGATTGAATTCAGGTTGGAACTCATCACAAACTGGAATCAGTTGAAGGAACTTTAGTACGCACTGCTGAGGAGTCCCATTATAGGACGAAAGTGCTGTCCAGTCCTCCCAGGTTCCCAATGTTCCTTCAAATGATGTCACTTCTGATGAGTTGCGACCTGGATTAAATCAGTTAATAAATCTCCACAACTCTACAGATTGAACGCTGGAAATTTATTAAGTATTAAAGGAAGTTATATTTTTCAAATGTACTTCACCATAGTCACCTATGGTGCCGTTTTTAGAATGACTCCAAATAATATTTAATGCTGTTATGTGACGTCTATCTGACTACCTTGCTTGATGTATGACTTAAACTGACGGAAGCAGCACGGTTTAGCTAGTTGACCGATGATTAAACAGAGTCGTCATAAATCCTAGTATGGTCGTTTACCTTTCCAAGGTATTGTATTGTGCAAAGAACTCATCAAAAGTGAGTGTAGCCTTATAAAAGTTCATTTCAATAACACCAACATAGTCAATATATAGGGACGCAGTAAAAAGTTATCTGTTACTCATACCAAATGGAAAGATATGCGTAAATACACTGCTGTGGCCAATTTCGAACAGTATCTTCAGAAGCCAATCACTAATACCAGTTGCTTTGTGGAGTTCACATAAGAAGATTACGAATTCCTGTATTGTTAGATGCATATTCCAGAAAGCTTGTGTACTAATCTGTCACGGCAACCTAAGAAATGGTTCAACATGTTTAACTTATGCCTCAGTCACCTTATTCGAAGCACCTCGTAACAATTCATCAACTGGTTTACCTTTGCCACCCAGAAATTTACAAAAAGACAGCTTTAGTAAACTTGGAAAAAGCTTCGATAATCGAATGCCGTTGACTTATTATTATCCTATACTTTAACTGATCACCTAATTGCAAGTGAAAACGCAATATACAGGTATTCTATTCAGTATTCATAATGTCTATAATATCCGGAGTGGGATCTTGGTAAAAAAAATACTTCCACCTGGTTTGCGAACATCATTAAATTTGGAAGAACACAAAGTATGCTACTACAAGATGAAGAGCTTCGAAATATTAGGAATAATTCAATTTCATGCAATTGATCTTCTTCAAAATTTTTAGCAAAGCTAGAACAATGAATTTTGTAGAATACAATGGTTTCAAACAAAGCGTTCACCACAATCATTGAAAGTTGACAGCTTTCATCCTTACGTCACCTCAAAGTGTATTTATCATTTCAGGTTTTCATCTAGTTACTAGCTAGTCCTAAGCCCGAGTAAAGCCGGAAGGTTAGGCGTAGAGCTACCAACACTACCCCGGAAAACAAATCCAACCGCTAAAGAAACTTCAAACCACAAACAAAATATAAAACATAAAAACAAAATTACTCTTCGCTGAAATCGGAGAGACGAAATGACGCCGGTTGGTGAAAGCCTGCCTTCGGGAAGCCAATTGGCCGATGTGTCTTCTCTCCCTCGATGAAAGCGAAAGTAAATGTGGGGACATGGAATGTCCGCACCATGTTTGAAGCTGGCTGGCTGGCTGGCTGGCAAGGCTGCTCAGATTGCAAAAGAGATGCGGAGGTATGGCACAGAAGTGCTTAGAATCTGCAAAAGCAGATGGAATGGAAGTGGACTCTCCAAACTATCAACTGGAGAGTCAATAATCTACCCCAATATTCTCACCTAGACGACAACCACGAGCACACTGAGTTCTGGAGTGGCTATCATGATGTCCCCTTGAAGAGCATCGAAGGCTCACTCTCATGCAGTGCGAGTCAATCTCATCCACGATCAGAATCATGACAGCAAGATGGATTCAACTCAAAAGGAAGGAAAGTCACAATCATTCAATGCTACGCTATGCACCTACAAATAATGCAGATGAAGAGAAGGAGGAGGAATTCTACAGTCAACTTCAACCAACACTGGACAAGACTCCAGTTTATGACATCAAAATTCAAATCGGCGACATGAGTGTCAAACTAGGAGGGGACAACATAGGAATAGAACCAATCATGGGTGGAGAAGCACTCGGTGAAATGAACGAGAATGGAGAACTACTTTCAGACTTCTGCACCTTCACTGATTTGGTGATTCGAGCAGTGTGTGCAAACACAAGTTATTCAGAAGGTGAGTGGCATGGATTTTACCAGACTCCAGGATACACTACACTAAAGATCAGACCGACTTCATCTTAACCTAAAGAAAGTGGAGACGCAGCTTACTGGACACAGGATCAGATAGAGAAGGGGAGCAGATGTGGGTCCATACCACTTACTATCTAGTGCAAGGAACCTACATTCAAAATGAAGTTGAAAGCCTTCAAGGAAGCTGGTGATAAACCACAGTTCAAGTTCGACACTCAGAAACTGAAGGATGAAACTACAAAGGACATCTTCACGTCGGAAATAAGAAGAAAATCGGAGACACCACTACTGCAGGAGGTTTGGAAAGAAGGAAAGGTACCTGCCTGTTGATTGGAAGAAGGGCTACCTTGTCAAACTCCCGAACAAGGGCAACCTAAGTCTTTGCAAGAACTGGCAAGGAATCATGCTGCTGTCCACCCCAAGCAAAATATTAAGTCGCATCATCCTGGACGGACTAGCCGATGCGCCGGACTCAAAATTACCACCAGAACAGGATGGCTGGATTGAGGAATAACAAAACATGAGCGGATCAAATTGCAACGCTACGCTACACATCATCATAGAGTAGAGCATAGAATGGTAGTCAACTCTCTACCTCAACTTCATCGATTTTGAAAAGGACTTCGACAGAGTCGACCAAGAAGTAATTTGGCAGGCAGCTGCTTCAGTACTATGGTTTTAGTGGCACAAACCTTTATCAACCTCATTCAATCGCAGCTATATGAGGATGCTACATGCCAAGTGATTGACAATGGAAAGATCAATGATGCTTTTGAAGTGAAGGCAGGAGGGAGTAAGATAAAGCTGCCACCTACTATCACATATGATCTTCCAGATTGTGGTCGACTGGATCATGCAGCAAACAGGGAGGAGCGAGAAGATGGGCATACGCTGGCTGGCTGGCTGGCTGACTGACTGACTGACTGGCTGGCTGGCTGGACCGATCAAAACACCCCAGAAGAAGATTTGGATTTCGCCGATGGTTTATGTCTGATGTCTTGCAGCACAAACTCGAAGACCTACAAGCAAAAACTAGCAAATTGACAGAAGAGGAGGAGAATAAGGGACTTCTTTCGGTCAAACACCATTTCATCTCATCAGTGGATTGTCATCTTCTTGATAAGTGGGTTACGTGGACTGTATTTCTCTCTACCTATTGCTTATGATTACGCAGTCGAAAAGAAGACGATGAAGCACCATGAATTCACCGTATTCTGCAAACTTCCTTGTTCTATCTTTACTTAAACAATTCACTTATTCATGATTACACTTGTAAATACGCAATACCGAAAAGTCCGTCTGCTGTAGCCTAGATCTCTTCAACAGTTAACGTCTTTAACCCATCTGATACCTATCATCAATTTTAACGTTAAGTCAACCAGTGATGCAGATTCATCAAATCCCATCAATAAGTAGACATGACCTACTGTCTTCATCCTTAAAAATCTATAACTAGGATGAAGCTACCTTACCTGTTTTTGTTCCTTTTGAAGTTGATTTCTATTCTATGCAAACTAGTTGTACTTTTGAAGTTACTCGGTAAAAGGAAATCAGAATGAATAATTGATAGGTAAACTCTGAATTCCAGACAATTCCTTGATAAAGAACGGTGCTATTCCTTAACATTGCTGTTCAGCAGTATGCATCTCACGAGCTCAGAATTTGAAATATTGGACTTCAGTACCAGTAAAATGTTTTCCACTGTTATTCTGTCAGTAGTGCTGAAAGTGAGATTTTGAGGAGAAAAGTGCGGAAAAAAATACCTCATAAAAAAAAATGAACTTCTAATGTTTACCCTTGACTTTTCCAAGCTACCACTAAATAAAGTTCTTGGCATTTAACTATCAGCTATTATCTAACATCCCGCTTTTCTTTCTTCGTCGTCTTATATCCTAATACCTTGAGTCGTCCATAGGTTTTCTCATTTGCGCTAAATGAAACCAGTTAGCTGACGTCAGCCGTTCTAAACACTAATGAGCAGAATATGCCGCTTCATCCTGTAAGTATTAGTTCTACCCTCCATCGAGAACTTGTATACAGTCAAACAAAATGCAAGAAATAAGGAGAAACTGATCATGGTCATTAGACATATAAAAAATGAAATATATATTTAGGCAATACGATTTATTAACTCCATAATGTGTGTAATAATGCTGTTTTTCTTTTCCCTTGAATCTTTCAGAGAAATATCTCTACTACAGAAGCAATGATAAATCAAGGAATTGATGTGCTCATCGAAGCTTTACAAGAAAAGCGTACACAGCTTATTGAGAAATTGCACGCAGAGGTACAACAGAGACGCCTTTATGTACGGGAACAAAGTAATCAGGCCGGAAATAGACTTTCATCAACAACTAGTCTAATTTATTTTGGTGTAGAATTGATAAAGGAGCGTGAACCAAGCGCTTTTATCCAGGTAACTGTTTATAATTAATGATCTGTTGCTGGTTGTATAATAGTGGCCACCTCATTCAGAAATGACGTGATCTCAACAATAGACAGCTGCTTGTTCTTTCTTGTGGTTCAGCTTAGACCTAATAAGCTCACGCGTGTGAGATATCCAAACCATTCTAACACCACGATACTCCGTCAGTGGACTAATTGTTCATAAAAATGTCTGTTACGACTGGAGAACTTGACAAACTCAGTTGCCACTGCTATTGGTTTTCTTTTTTTTCTTGAAACCTGAAAACTGTAGAGAGGAAAATAACTGAACCGCTAATATGATGCCTTCAACAGCTACTCTAGTTATCTGAGTCAGCTCAAGATCTTTGTGCAGTTAACTTCTGACAGCTTGTAAAAATACACTGATTGGCACACTAGTATATAAGCTGGTTGCTTTAAAACTAATAATCTCATTTTCTTTTATCTAGATACCATCCACCACGTTAAGTTGCATGTGCATTCACTAGTCTCAAGCTTCAGCGGTCTCTAATGCAGTGTAGAAGTAAGACAATATTTGGGGTGTTCCTGAAGTCAACTACCAGTCTAATGGGATAACCTGGTCCACGAACTTCATTAGTATCATAGAGTTTATTAAGATTATTAGTTCAGATATTGATGAAATTCATTTTAACTCATCAAGAAATGGCTTCATTTGGAGTACTAAGTCAACTGTAGACCTCTAAATCTTATTCATAGGCTTGTTAATCTACTCATACAGACCCATTCAGAAGTTTTAATCGACTTTTAGGAATTAATCCAATTTTCCCACAGCTGCTGCTAAACTGTTGTTACTAGCTTCGGCAATTACTAGGCTGTTGGCAATTTTTCTATTTTTGGTAGCTATAATTCTTTAGTTCGTCAAATTCTGTCTCACCTTATACCGTTGCGGTTCTAGTGAACACTGCGGTAGATGTCTTATCTATTAACGCTGATACTATTTATAAACCAGGGGTGACATCTGATTTTAAGTAACCTACTGGACTTCACTCTAGCCTAGGGATCTATTCAGTAAGTCAAAAGAATGAAAGCAAGAAAGAAAACACGTCGAAAAGCTCTACTTTGTGACAACTATCCTCCAAAATTTATCCAAAAACTCATAAAGATGCATAGGAAAAGGAAAAACTGTGATGTCAGCAATAACGGTTACAGGACCAACAAGGAATCTTAAAGCCTTTATAGTGTTGTCATATCAAGAAGAGACTACCATTCAAACCTATAAATTCACGTAGAAACAAACCTTGTCAGTTTAAAGACTGTACTGACCCAATCACATAAAATGATTTAATCTCCGAAATATCATGCAATGGATGTGAGGTCAAGCACATAAGTCCCACCAATTGATCGATATCAATCAGACTAGCAGAAAATAAGAACTTAGGAATGATAGACCCTGTCATAATAAATAACCCAGATGAGGACAAAGGGAGGCAGGTTGACGATCACTCATTCTTTGTTCCTCGAATCAACACCCGGCATATATACGCAATAGGAATGATTCAATATAGGTTCCAGATACAAAAATACCAAAAAAGGGAAAAGTAAAACTATAACAACTATGTCAAGAAGTTACTTGATAATGAGCAATAAACTGTTTGGAATGTCATCACTACATGGTAATATTAAATAAACAAATCTAATATGGAACATACCATGTAATAGTTGGGGTCAAGGGTTTTAACTCACTCGTACTCTCTCTACCTGATCAGCCTAATTAAATAATCTTTTCTAACAAAGTGTTTGGTTCGCCACGCGATACATGAAGCCACATATAGTCGCTGGGTTTTCTACTTTTTTCTTTCATGTAAAGTGAATCTCGATGATACATGTCTACCCGGAAATTTAAGGCCTAATATTCGTTTGAGTTTATGATTGCGCATAGGATTGTGACAGAAGTCGAGCAGTATTTTTCGTCACTTAAGAATACTTTCCAGCTTTCACTGTTTATCAAACTTTTGTACGCTTTGTGAAGGTTGTTTGATCTTTCTTGTTGATTGTATCATCTACTCAAGATCCATCCTTCGTTTAATTATTTTAGAGGTTCTGATGAACATAAATCAACACTCACCATATTTCAGCCTTAAAACAGCAATGATTTGTGTATGCTAAGCCTACAGTGTAAAGTGCTTCTTGGTTTTTGATATGATGCTAAATTATGCCACCGAAGTTCACTTTATCAGGTTGGCAACTTTTTATCTCTCTATAAACCTATCATGACAGTGTGCAAGCAACAACGCTCTGATTTCTTTGATTGTTGAAAATCCTCGCTTCGCTGGATGTGTCAAAATGGCAATTTCTGTAGATAAAAATAACCTCCGATATTATTAATGAATAATTATAGCTAAAAAGCTGAGAATGGAACAAGTTGAAAACACTTAATCACTTTCGATATTCAATGATTTTTTTAGTTTGCCCAAGTGACCACTGATCTGTTGCGACCCTGCAAGCAATCGAAAATTTCCCTCCCAAGAAACACTACTGGTAGAGGCTTAAAATTGAACAGACAAGTTGCTACCACCAGTTAGATACATTCATTTTCGTAATTTTAGTAATACTACGGTTAAAACAGTTTGGAAAATTTTGAAATCCGATTCTCATTCATCTGTTAAGACTCAACTGATATTTTTGTCTCAGAAATAAACGATTCTACTGAGTGACAAGTGATTAAGAAATCAATAAAAAGCTATACACATCTCTTGAGAATATTTCTGAGAATACAAAACATCAGTATAAGTGTCTTTTGATAAAATAACAACATCAGTAAGAAGAAAAGCTTCAAAGCTACTCGAATGAAATGAAGTGTTTTCATTCTGTATTAAACGTCTAGATAACCTCCTGTAAGATTCACAGAAAACCTCTGCCTAATGGAGAGAAACAATACGTACAAGTAACATTTGGAGTTGTTTCTTAGGTATGCCTAGATTGATGGTCATGTTCGATTGTTATATGTGGAAAATAATCGCTACCACCAATTAGGTAGGCAGACTTATTATACGACATAAGTACTTGTTGACACTTAAATCTGTAGCTATCTTCTACCCAAACCCTTTTAAGAATACTTCACAAAATGATTTGTTTTTTCCATCTCTCTTCACACAACGTAAAATCAGTTATATTAGACCACACTCATATACATCGAAAGCTATGCTCTAGACTCCATCTTTCTAAAACACTTGAACAATGGATAAAATAAAGAATTTGAGTGCAAAAGTCATTTATCCTACAAATTAATCGATTGAAAAAACGAAATACTGAACCCAGATACTCCTTACATTTTATTCTACTAAGCTACTATCATACAGCTAACATGTGTTGACCTGGATTGCTCAAGTTGAAGAAGGTCAAAGAAGTATGAACTTTAGATTTATAGGCCGAAAATCCAGTGTCCAAATCAATGAGACAAACTTTCATTCTTGATATATTTAAAGGTGTTTACCATCACAAGTTAAACTGGAAACTCTACTGAATATTCATTGTAACTTCTTAACACTAAATTCAGCCTTTTATTTTCAAATACTTAAAGAAAATTAACGTCCTGTTCATCTTAGCGACTAGCAGTGGGATCCGTGATACGTGTTTCGTTCTATCTGGGGCTCGTCAGCCAGATGTATGTGCATCCCAATGAGTAATGTTACCCCCACCTATCCCTTCAAACTACAACTACATGATATCATGGAGCAGTCATTCGGAAACGGAAACACTCTTGAAAGCAGCTGTTCATTTTAATTTTGATTGTTTTAAAAAATAATACCATTTCTATGAAAAAAACATCATTACTGTAACGATACTAATATTCCTATAATTTAAGATGAATTTTCATTTGAAATCTGATCGCTTTATGTATTAGTTTATATCCAGGAAAAATTACGAATGTATTCACAATTATATCACTTAAAATTTATGAATTTAGGACAGAAAACTTTCATTCTAGGGGATGTAATATCTCCAAAACCTTCGTAAATAATGTGGATGTTACCATTAATCGGTACAAATTCTTATTGTTACTTCATGCATCAGCTGAATCACTTTCTTTTAAAAGACATTTCCGTATAAAATTTTCTATTGTATATTAAAAATGAAGTCGTATACAATGATAAAATCCAAAGGTTTTCCATATATAATTAAGGTTGCTCCTTCACTCAAACATCGTTTGATCAGTACAGAAAACCAAATTATGCATGAAACTCAATTCTGTCGAGAACAATATCTTGGTGATTTTCAATTACGTATTAACAACACCAACGACTTACTTGAAAGGATTGAAGCAATTACTTTGAATGAAATTTATCGTAAGTAAATCTTCATACCTAGAGATAAGTTGTTTTTTTTTACTGTACCTTAATTATCCTTAATTTACACCTTATCGAATTCTTCTCTATATGTGTCAAGTAGACTTTCAATGTATCAGATAAAAAGTTCACCTATTTAAGTATAACAAATGCAGATACAGGACATTTAGAGGATACAGAAGAAAAAATTAGCCTATGATCATCATTTCAGTGACATATTACTTATCCGGGCTTTATTTCTTCTAGTTTTCATTTCGTTGAATTCTGGTCCATTCATAAGAGTGATATATACATTCAGAGAAAATGGATGGCAATGATTTATTTTGAAATTAATTTTCATTTCAGGCTGATATCAGATGGAGAGCGAGTTAAAAACTGAGATCACTGTACAACTATTTCATCGTAGCATGAGGCGTTTCAGCAGTGCACAATGAAATAGAGCCTAAAATAGTCAGATCTCACTGTGTTAGAATGAATACTTCACCAATTCCTTGTGTTTTTTCCCATTCAGGATGTAACCTCACCATCATCCAATACTAGCAGTGGGTACCCAATCATTAACAGTCCCAAACTAGGACAAAATAGCTATCCATTGATCGCAGGTTTTCAATGGTTCTCCAGTTGATGTCAGTTAATTTGAAATTAATGAACTCGTAAAAAGTAACAACTGGATGATGATTTCTGGTAGCAAAATCCAGGAGGCATTTTTCTCTGTTCTAAGCCTATATGTGTGAATGAGAGTTTTATAACTAGTACAAAAATATTCAGTTAGTAAGTTCAATTACTTGTAGGCATACTTTCTAAAATAGATCAAAGTTATTTGTTTATTCTCCTATTATATTCAGTAAGTGAGAAAGTCTATTTAATAAACCATCTAAAAAAGGATTTAATTACTTTCATTTTGAATTTGAAAACAGTGTGAACAACAATACCAATACAAAACCATAGATATCATATGCCATCATCTAGATCTTCTCCCTATGATAGTAACCGAGTTCATACTGTTCCTATTGTTTTTCTTGCTCTTTTCAAAATTCATACGAAAGCATTCATGTGTGAAAGTACTTTCATTTCGTTTAACTTAATAGCTTCTGATGAAGGAATGACACAAAACAAGTCTGTATTACACTTTTTGTAGTTAAACGCTTGTTTGCATTTAATCGAAAACATCTTTTATTTCTTTATCCTTTTCGCCTTCCTAATTTGTATAACTTGTATTTGTCAACTATGTTATCAAATCACCTTCATATCCATGAGTTTCGACTAATTCTGAGTGTTTAACGTGCTGTGCACTTTCTTAATATTTCTTCACATTATGAGTAGTACTAGCATTGTTTTTATTAGTAATTGTGAGATTCTCAAACTTACAGTTGATCATCACCTAAATTCTCATAATTCTTTCATTATATATCACTGATAATAAAGGATTAAACGCTACGTCTCCTTCATACTTCTTAAGCAGAAAATTTTACTTCGTCAAGGATAAACTACATAGACGAATACAGATTTGTTATCGATACAACCATTGCTTTCAGTCAAGACTTAAAGCTCATTACTTGCACATTACCAAAAGACTGGCATAAAATTTACTTATGGAACTATTTTGAGAATGTCTCCGTCCATCAAACTGAAGTATCCTTGGTATCATCCGTGATCGGAAGGAAAGTATGATCTGACTCTTCGCATTCATCCCCTTAAGCTTTCCTTTGTATAAATAGCTTGAACAGAATTCGTCTAGTATTTTAATGGATGATGCCCTAATCGATCAACTGAAATAAGTGTGAATTACTTCTGACGAGGTCTGACTGGCTTTTTATTAGTCAGATCAGAATTATGACATCTTTCTTGGATAAAAAGTGTGCATTCAGTAAGTTTTGCATCATTAGGATTACTTTGTGAACGGACAGTGTTGCGATAAACATGATTGAATATAATTAAATGATTGATGAATATGACCAAAGTGAAACTGAGAAGGGAAAGACAGAAAAACAAGTTACCTATTGCTACCTTCAACAAATCTTAGAACTGCAGGCTAATTGCGATAACTGAAACTGGAAATATTTTAAGTTTGCTAATTCGTTAGTAACAAACAATCCATACTGAACTTCACAAAAAAAGTTATTCAAACTGATTGAAGTGAAATAAGAATCTGATCAGCAGCAGAACCTTCTAGCTCAGTTGCTAGAGCATCGGGTCAGAAACCCGGTGGTCGCTGGTTCGAATCCGGCTTCAGCCCGAATTTTCATTTCACCATGAATCATTACCCATTATAAACTAATAACTCCCAATTATTCTTTCTACTGACTGATACTAAAAACTGACACTCATCCGTTAAGATTTAGTTTGCTATAAACACGATGACGATAACGATGGTTGTTTTTAAAAAAATCCATTTGGACTAACAGCAATAACATTCTAAGTGACGATTCGAATTCACTATAAACAGACCTCACCTACTAATGTGACGACAGACAATAATTTTAGTTGAAATATTGCCAAAACTCAAAAATCTGACTGTGTGCAAACATTCATTGAAAATTTGTTTATGATAAATTGATTCATTCCATAATTTGCATACCCTTCATAGAACACAAGAATATTTATGAAGTTGTACGGACGACATAAAAATGGTTTCTGTAACAGTACGTGAATCATAATATGCGTTTCACTGTAAAAGCCCAATGTATGCATCCAACGAGAGAGATTTTAGGATGAAATCCTTCTTATTCACATATAAAACTTCTGAATTTGGACAGTTTCACAATGGGTCTCTTCAAATATGACAAAAACATCATTAGATTAAGATAATAAACAATAAGAGAAGGTTTATGGTTACACCATGATTTCTTGCTGGCTGATAGAAGATATCCATGTTAGTTAAGCAAGATTCACTTACTATGACAATTCATGTGGATGATTTATTTGTTCAAAAAGTAGACAAATATGACTGAGTAACAAATGCCAAAAGTCACTTTATATTGTCTTTTGCGTAAAGGGATGTTAATGGAAGTTTGAAAGCTATCTGATTTCTTCCCTCTTTTTAACATTTTTGACATTCCATATCATTGAAAGTTTGTTACAAACACAATTAGGTGTTCCCAATGACCTGAAGCTTGTTAAGTTTACTATCATATATGCATAGGATTTATGATTTATGTTTTGCTGCTAAATACAACCAAATAGTCATTTGAATCATTCATCAAAAATATTTGAGTTAAACTGCCACTGACCTACTATAAATAACATTTCATCGCTGAAAAGTAAGCAATATCCTTAACATGCATTTTTCTAAAGCTGTACAATATATCAGATTTACTATGACATAAGTAAACTTTGAATTATATTCAAAGTCGATTCAAAGAAAGTGAATGTAATTCAGATAAATTTCGAGGTAACCACACCTAAGACAGATTCTCTTTCAAGAAAATATTGCTACATTAGATCAACGAAGCTAATAAAGTTTTTGTCCCAGAAACAAACCTTTCAAAAACAAACAACTTTATTTCATTTAAATTATGATAAACACATCATATTTCCGGGGGGAAAAAAACAGTACTAGAGAACTATTCTATACAGGGCAATTTAGTTTAAAATGGAAGAATGTAGTAGTGCAAATCTTAGCTTTTGAAATGCTGATACCTGCTAAGGTTCATCATATGTTGGTAGCGTTGTTTATCGCAATGAAACTGTATCCATTTTCATCATATAAGTCGCAACTAATGATCACTCTATGTTGCTATGGAATTCTTGTAGTACTTACTCTGAGAACGTTCCAGATGTATATTTTATAGCCATTTAAGGTGATCACCTACTATCAACAACGGAATGCTTAACAGAAAAGACAGAAGGAACAGTAAACAAAGCCCTTTTATTCATACATTATTATATTTCCATTAGACTTTGAAATGTAAAAGCACTTGGAATCCCTTCAATCCTAATTACTGTGGTCGCCCGGGTAGCCGTATCAGAATCTTTTATATTATTGCTAATGGGACACTATACTTGTTATAATCTGCTTAATAATATTAAAACGTAGATAATTTTATAAAATACCTGAGAAGTTAAAAATACTAAATCGGTAATATTGAATTCCATAATGTATCCTGAGAAAACAAGGTTAGACGCCTAAATACACTGTCATCTTTTAAGAATCCAATAAATAAATATGAACTGAATTCAGAACTGTTTCTCTATGCCGATTATTCACATGAGAGTTCATATCATCCCTAAGCTAGTTCAATTAGTGATAGCTCTTTTTACTCTATTATAATATAGGAATGATATGAACTCCTATGTGAATAATCGGCATACAGGAACAGTTCTGAATTTAATTCATCTTTATCTTGAATCAAGTAGGAGAAGTTTGACGTTTATCGACTAATATTTCTTAAGTAATCTTAGTTGTATAAATCAGCCACCAGAAAATATGATTGTTAACTACTCACTACTGATTGAAACCCACCTAACAGATGTCCGATTTGATCATTAATCTACATGAAGGCATACTATAATGCACTTTTTTATATATCAGATTTCAGGAATCTTGGCTTAACTTAGAATTCCGATTTATTGAAACCGGCCAGTTAAGTGCAAATGAAACCCTCGGTGCCCTTATTCTCTTAGAAATTCACATCTATGTCACTCATTTCAGATCTGGCTTCATTGACTATGCAGAAACTGGAAGTTACAGGACATGAAATTTTCGAAAGTAAACACTTCTCGTTATTTCTTATATATTATCCCAAGCGTTTTACACCTCCTTATCTCTGCTGAAATTGTATCCTTCATTTTTACTCCGGGCTCTCTTCTCATCCTCTTTGTACTATTTAATGCCAAGATGTGAACCTTTTCAAAAGACTACGCTCATGTATTTCTTTCTAGGTTAAATAAACCCGGAAATCTTGAAAATCGCATGCTAGAATAAATCACGTTTTATTAATTTAGGTCAATGATTAAAAATCTCTTTAAGCTTGTCCATGCTATTCAGGCTTTCTTACCTAAATTTGTAATCACTTCATTGTGTCACATAATTATTCTATTCTATTAACGGTCCCTTACTTAGGTGAAAAAGTCAACAATTGCCTTTGATTCTTGATAACTTCCTTTGTATACATGAGTCATTTGGTGAATACAACATGAATTAGGCTCTCGATGAATACACTCGAAAACTAGAGAGTACTTGTTTATAGGATAATTATTTCTATCTTTTATTATCATGGTTCATGTAATTATTGTCAACATCGCGGATAATTACATGATTTTAAACATGTAAGGTCTCCATTTTATATATTAAGCGTAACTTCTCAAGTACTAACTAAAGCTGTGCAATCAACTTGTCAACATGTTAATAGCTAAATTCACAGCAAACCCATTTCAAAATGGATGTAAAACTACAAATAGATTGATTTAGATTGATGAATGATATTGTGTAATAAATATGTATGTCAGTTGTTGTGATAATACGAATCCAAACTCTCAGTCTCAAATGATTCCATTTTAAAATACAATTGCCACAAATCTGGCTATTATTCTGTTAACAAATTTGACAAACCTGATTTTTGGTTCTGATAAATTTCTGATCAGTGTGTGAAAGACAAGCCGACGCATTGAGCCACATAAATGTGTATACTAGTTTACTTGCTCTTGTGGAGCTGAGTACATTAGCAGTACCATGCGTCCACTTGTAAAACGTGCCCATGAACACTACCCAGCCTGGCTGGCAAAGGGAGAACGGAAATGTATCTTCAGTTCAATCACAGAACACCTCATGAATTCAGATCACTTAGCTCCTATTCAGAAGTCACTCAAAATTCTATACAGTGTTCCATCAAACCACTCGAAGACAGTAAGATCAGGGCATTTAACTATGGCTGAAGCAGCAGCGATCCAGAAGTTCAAACCAGCGTTATGAGTCCAAAAAAGGTACATCCAACCTTTATCTTTGCCATGGCTATCATAAAGTCTTGGCTGACTCATGTTCACTTTGTATTAGGTAAATATACATGTATTTCCTTTATCCGTTGTTCATTTTCCTACTATGTCATGGATTTAACCTGCATTAAGTAATTACAATCTTGTTTTCATGACCCCTGTTTATTTTCCTACTGTCACAGGTTTATCCGGTATTACATAATCACAATTTTATCTTTATAATTCTCCGTTCATTTTCCTACTTTGCCATACATTCATTTTGTATTGTATAATTACATTTAATTTCATAATCCCTTGTCTGTTTTGCCACTCTAAACCTAAATGTTACTAATGAACTTCTTTTAGTTATTCAATATATTTTGCCCTCCAAAAGGAAATAATTCTGGAACGTTCTACCCACTGTAACATATATTCATGAAATGTATAGCTTAGTAAATGACCTTTTTCTTCACTGTAACCACGTCTTATCCTTTCTTATGATCAAATGGGTGTATTCCACTGTTCTGATAATTTACACAATGCACGCATTCAAATTATACACCGAAAACTGTCAATGAAAATTTGTTTTTCGGCTGAATCCTTCTGTTTACGAATGACACCTGCTCATCCAAAACTTAACCTTATTTCACAACATATCCTAGGTGTTTATTCTAAACAAGTATACTGGATAAGATAAACCATGTTTTTCACATTTATTGCATACAAAAATCATTTATCAAAACAGACATTCTAACCGGTAAACTTAAATTCGAGAAAAGTTAAAACGCACTTCCTTACAAGGGGAGTTGATGAAATCTTAGCTCAGATACAGAAGGCCTGCTTAGTATTCGCCAAATTACGTCACCTTTGCCACCGACTGGTGAGATGTCCGACTATCTGTCAAAGGACGAGTATACTGAGCTGTAGTCTATTCTGTCCTTTTATACGGCTGCGAGACATGGCCTTTGAAAGTAGAAGCTATGAAGCGGTTACACAGTTTTCATCACATATCTTCTTAGCATTGCTCACCTTTGGTGGAATCACTGTGTGAGCAGTGCTGAGGTTAGGTGAAGGATACTAAGCAAGACAGGCAAGTCAGTTAATGAGGTTGTGAACCCTCATCGGCTGAGGTGGCTTGGGTATGTGTTTCACAAGCTGAGTCATCGCCTACCCCGACGTGCCATACTATGGGGAGCTGAATGAGGTTAGAAGATATTTCAGAGTGCTCATATCAAAACGTGGTGCCAGTCTTTGAAGTCCCTAACTGTTGGTTTGAGCCCCGTGGGGAGATATAAACCGACTAGCTGGAGTCCCCAAGATGATAGAAGTCAGTGGTTGAAAACTCTTGATGACGGATGAAAATCTTTAAAAATAGAGACGTATTCACTTCTTGACGGCTTCTTGGTGTACTACTGTGGAGTGTGCGAATTTGGATCGATGCACTTGTCTGTGCAGTTCTACGTTTATTTTGTCTGTCCGACTCAGTAACCTTGTGCACGCTCAAGCACCAGGACATGAGCCACAACTTTCACTTAAGGATTAATGAAACTACATGGCTATGCAAACCTTGGCAGAAGGAGCAGTTATCAAACCCGTGACCCAGTGGTTGAAAATCAAGTGCCTAAACCAATGAGCAACAGTCCTACTTCCATGCAGCTTTGCTTAATATTTATCTGACTAAACTTTTGGTCTACCGTACTCATATGGTGGTATACAAGATTTTATCATAAGTATGGGTAATGATAATCGCCAACAAGTGTTTTACAACGTTTGGTACTTATCAGCTCTATTCACCAATCAAGTCCAGGTGGCTGTCATTGAGAACTAGTAATCTTAAGCTAAGTAATATGACCACATTGCATTTTTTTTGGAGCATGTACGTAAATCCATACTAGTGTGAATTATTCACATTCCCTTGGAAAACGAAGTCTAGCCTAAATGGTGAGATGATTTTTCAAATAATACTTCAATTTGCAAAGACCAGCTGTAGGTACGTTTTCGGGAGACAGTGAGTAGAAGGAAGTGTGTAATGTTTTGTGATAATAGTTCAGTTGACCAATATGAAAATCTGGAAGCAGAAAGAGGAAAAAGGAGCTAGCACATGACACGGCAAACACAAAGAATGCACTTGTGTTTAATTACTAGAGACAACTGACAGATGGCAATAATTTACAGCAAGGAAATCGAAACTGGAAAATGGCTGAGAAAGGCTTCGAAGTCATTACAAGCTCAAAGAGTTCGTTTGGATGTTGCATCGATATCGTATAAATTATCAGGTTAGGACAGTAACAACATAAATTGACTTTTATTATATCATTATGATGTTAACTAAACAAAATCTTAATTTTTGTCTAATGTATATTGAGTGACACTTTTTATGTTCATTCCCACTTTCAATCAAGCTCCTCCTATTCCGAAAATTATCGTATCTCAATGTTTAGTCGAAAGTAACAGTATTCAATTAGTATGGGATTTCATCAATACATCAACTCCATTAAAAAATGATGAGGTTGAACAATATCGAATGAAAAAGTCATCCTCTTTACTTAACACTGCATCTGATCCTACTGCTAATTCAATTGATTCTAATGGTCATTGGAGTTCAGGCGCTTCATTATTCTGTAAAGATTTATGTCATTCATTGTCTACTAACAGTGGATTCACAACACCAGAAACTGTTCTTTTACAACAGAATTATCATATCCCTGAATCTGTATCAGCTTATGCTTTAATGACAAATTCCAAAGGGATAGAAATAAGTAGAGATCAATTCATTCATCAATCTATGCAGTACTATGATCATCAACATATTCCTTTATCAATATCATCAAATCAGTGTACTTTATCTGTTCCATCGACACCAGAAATGAACGGATCCTATTCAATAAATACCTTGCACAAAAGTATGACCATAAATAATGATATTCGATTTTTATCAGGAAGTAAACATGACGAAGTGATTACATTTCAGTTGGAAGTAGACAATGGACATGGTGGACCGTTCAAAGTAAGTGTATTCTGGTTTGTTTTACCCTATGCTTTGCTTTAAGTTTTCTGGCTAAAACATATTTCATTGTTATGTTAAAAGCGCCATCAGTCTATCCGTTTGAAACAGGCAATTTAGATAGATAAGTAGTATGAGGAAAAGCGAACAAATCATACTTTTAATTCAGCAGAAGCTGAGATCGTAGAGATTTAACTGAAGTCTGTTCTGTGATTGAATTTTCATATTTACTGGGAAATACCTAGTCACCCAGCCAATGAGTTATGATTCTATTGTCTAAATTCTCCGATTTTATGAGGTATTAAAGTCATTAGCCGTCGTCATCGGTTTGCATAAGTTTCCACTTCTGACTACATCGACACTACAGATCTTAGTAAAGTATATACAGTGCTTCAGAGTTTTAATATCTTCTTGGAATTTCATGTTACATATTTAACATGTAAACTACTATTAGCAAAGGAAGAAAATTTTTTGCAGTGTGATAAATAATATCTAGCTCTTCTGTATTCACGTTATTGTATATAGTTTATAATCTTTAGGCTTTGCGTAATGCTTATAACCTATTAAACAAATGATAGGCAGGACAATAAATCAGTCTGCATACCGAAAAGTTCTATTGTTTGATAAATGTAGGTGTTAGTTCTGGCACAGTTTGTGGGTAAAAACTGAAATCATTTCAAAGCGCAGCAACATAAATATCCCTTGTAAATTTTACCGTTTAAAAAAATTTCTGTTAAAATGGGTAGCGAATAACGGAGTTCGATAGATAAGGAATTTTTGTGAGTATACTTAAAACGGCACTAGTAAAAGTGTAAAACTATTGATTCCTTGGTATTATGGATTCCTCCTTTAGGAATACAGACTGATATATATCAAGTAAAAATCAGGTTCTATCTGACTTACTGTATTTCATCAAGCTCACTCACTTAACCTAATAATAAGGGCAGAGTTTACACTTTTGGTGTCCCCTCTCTGTCTCCCTGTCTTTATTTTGTTAACAGTCTTAACGTTGACTTTATCGTTCACTAGATGAGTTAGTAACACCTGCATTGACTTCTTTAACTCTCATAAAACTAAGCACAATGAGTGAATTTTTGTTAACCACATTTTACTTGACAGATAAATTGATATTAATAAAACATCTTTTTTTCTGTAGAATACACACTGATGCTTTTAGGATGAGTTCGTCTCAAACATAAATAGAAGTTATGACGTCATCATTTAAGGGAATTTTGAAGAAATGGATTATTTAGGAAATTGAGCTTATGAAGATTGTGTACTGTTAATTACCTTGGCTATGCCTTTGATTTCCTACAATATAAACCGAAGTTGAATGAGAGCTTAATTCTTTAATCCACATGACTGTAGCACGCACTTTTCATGTATAGTTAGTTGAATCTGTTCAATGTTCAGTTCGAACCAATTCCAAGAACACCACATTGATGATACGATAATGTGACCTTGATAAGAAGGTTTATCACTAATATATCTAAGATGAATATTCCAGGAAAGAAACGTAACACAAAAATAACATAAATTACTGGCATAATGGATACCAGTTTGTTATGATTTCTTGACTGGATAAACAAATCTGAACATGACGCTTTTTTGAAACGTTGATCTCCTTTTTCACTATCATTTATTATTATTCCTACCTATCTATCTCTTTATATCATACATTATTCCCTAGAAAACTCTAGACGGTTTAGTATAGGATGCAGTAATAAACAATTATGTCTACTAAAAATTTCTGTGTATATTTTAGTCAGACAGTGAAGATTATCAAACGGTGTGTAAGATGATTGATCTTCATACTACACCATTATTTTCAATTTTACTCCACTATCACCTTCACTAGTTATTCCTCCATCTTTTCTCCTTTCTTTTTTCGTCTACAATTATTTTCAGTTTATAGGTTTCTGATGAATCATAAACGAAAACTATTTACATTCTACTCTTCATCAACTACCTTTTATATATTTATCATGAATAGTGGCTTATGCTTACATTCTATGACAACTCTAGACCAAACAATGAATTCAGTTTACTGTGAATATGCTTACAGGTTTAATATTTACCTCAGTGTGCATATACACTTAAGCACAGTTGTATAATATTACGTGATAATTTTGATCTAAAATTTATTATGACACGGAATAAACCATTATATTATAGTTCGAGGAGGTTGTGGGGATTAAGAAATAATCCAAGTTGGTATTCATTGTAGACTGACATCAGTTGGAGGAACAGAGGAAACCTGGGGAAACTGGACAGCTGTTTTGTCCCAACAACGACTCCCCAGCAGTGTACATTCACGAGACCCCCAGGGGTCGAACCCGAGACCTTCACCTTCCATGGCCAGCATATGACCATTCAGCCACTGGGTCGGAATCTAGTGGCGCATATTTCCAACTTATATCAGTTCACGATATAGCGCAACCGCCACCCAATATCGTCGTTCAGTAACCATTCTCAATTGAACCGGTGTTCACCGTAAACCACCTCCGAGACGTGATTCGCAAAGTTCCAATAACGAGTCATGACCAGTGGGGTCAACCTGACGCTCCTGAGGACAGTTACTCAACAATAACACTGGATGGCGGTTGCACTATGTCATCAACTGACAAAAGTTATAAATATGGACCATCGCGTTCCGACCCAGTGGCTCAATGATGATGTGCTGGTCACGGGTCTCGGGTTCAATCACTTGCAGGCTCGTGGGCGCGCGCTGCTGAGTGTCCCATACCAGGACGAAACAGATGTACAGTCCTCCCAGGTCTCCATTGTCCCTCCAACTCATGTCAGTCTACGATGAATACCCTCTTGAAATATCCTATTATATTCTATCTACACGTATTTGTGGACGTTCATTAATTGATTTTAGGTTAGAATATGTTTTTCTAATCAACTCAAAGGATTCTTAATATCTTCTCACTGAAAATCAGATAGTCTCCACCACTAGTCATCAGACGAAAAATTCTACTACACACACACACACATGCACACATAGTTTCTCACTTAAAAACCTCCTAATAAAATTGCGGTGCATAATGATGAAATAATAACTGAAAGATAACAGTTTTTGTGCAAAATTACCATCTGAAGGTAACGAAATGATGTTGCACTAATGATTAAACAGATACTTCAGTCACCTACTCAATGATAACCAATTCGTGTACTGTATATCTTATGCTGTAAGTGTAGATTGTGGTAACGTTTACTTTCGAAATGATTTCAGGCAAATAAAGACTTCATAAGCTCATATTTTTGATAGGTCACTACAATTTTGAATGAAATTTGAGATAATTTAGAAGAATCAACAACAACAACAACAACTTCTTAACATCCTACTCATTGTTCATTTCAATTTAATCAAATTTTGTTCGAATTATATTACCTGTTCAACTTCTGATTATGCATGTCAATGAATGCGTCTTTATGTAAATAAATCTATTAGACTTAAGTTCATATTGGTTGACCTGTGTTATCTGTAAGGCGACTTGCTTGAACCCTGGGTTACCAAAAATGTTTTATGTCGAATATTTATTTCGTCAACTTCTTCCCCTTCACTTTGTTTCAATCTTTTCAACGAACGAAACAAATGAAAAGCTTTATGCTGGCTTCAAATGGACTTATAAGTGGTCAAAAATACAGCACATTACTATTCCTAGGATTCTCAAATCGACTTACAAGTATTTGTACTGGCCAACTAAACCACCACCATCATCGAAATTTCACTCGATTTCGTGTTCACTCCCAAGTCCAGATGAAACCGTAATGTAGCACCAGCTGCTCCTTTCAAGTCAGTGTTTTTAGGGTTGTTATCATTAACACTAATGAGGTGTAATAGAAAAACTGTACAGTGAGGCAATTTGTCGAAATTCTATAAATGCTGTTTCCAATAAAGACATTATTGTAGTGTGATTGGTTGTGGCTGGCAGAGGAATCCAGGATGCCCATTTCATCCCATTTGGGACTCGTCACATATGCCAATAGAGGCAGATCAATTCGGTCCAATCAATGATGGTTCAATACAAGCAATAACAGTATAATCATTATTATTATTATTATCCATTTCGTTTGTACATAACACCAAAGGTTGTGTAGTAAAGTGTTTATTATTTTAATCCGATTCATAAAGTCGATTAGTAATTAATGTTTGAAAATTTATGCTTTGATCAACGGTATACTGAAAGTAAAACGTGTAGTCATGCACAACATAACATTACAAGTTGAGTCGAGCTGAGGATGTCGGTTAATGAGACCAGCGTGTCAAGCATCCTGACAAATATTATTGCCATGGTTGCTTAATTGACACAAACAAACCCTTCAAGCTTCCATCATATATTTCATTAGAACAATTTCAAAGGATTGACTCAACTTTATAATTTCAAATAATAGATGATAATTGAATATCCTCCTTATCACAATTGGTATTCGTCTGCACCAGTTAGGCAGTCATAATACAAGACTGTTTATCATCTTACAGATAAGGGAAGTGTTCATCTCCTTATTAGAGTTGATTAACATTATCTGTCTTATAATTAGTTTTGTGTGCATGTAATCACCAGTTATATTTACATTCATCATAGAAATCATATACACGTTTCAAGTTTTATCCATATCAAAAATGTACTGGAATGTTTATACACTTTCCAAGTCAATTTCAGTTACAGTAGTCACTAAGTCGATGTTGAGAGACTGTAGATGTGTAAGTTAGAAGTCGATCAATACATTGGCATATACATCACAAGGTGAATATTTCTATTCATCATAAATTTATCCATTTGAACATATAGTGAGAGTTTAGCAAATGAAACATTCAATAGACTGTCAATGTTAATGCAGTAATTGGCATAGAAACACGTATATGATGGCCCCACCACTATGTTGTATATGATGATGATGATGATGATGATGATGTCATTCAGGTGAATCTGATTTAGGTTCAAACTAACTTGATAGTTTAGATGGATGGATGTGGATGTAGATGTGGATGAAGA